TTTGCCTGCTTATTTTTGAGAGCTCTGTCACAGGTCATTTTAGAATGCTTCCTTAATCATTATGCATTATAATTAATCACTATGCAGTCAACATTTTACTATGCATTTGTATGGGTCATTCTTCAGAGTTTTTGGAAAACTGAGCATCTTCATCCTCTGGGCACGGCTGGGAACACGTGAAGCCTCTGTTATCATTATCACTCCAACTGGGCTGGTACAGTAACAGCGCTCCCACAGAAGGCTTAGGGCAGTTCTGAGCTGTTCCACTTGTAGTCTGGTTTGAACTTCATAAGAACATGTTCTTGTTCTTGTTTCAGAAGCTCTGGAGAGGCCTGTCAGAGAGGGAATTAGAGATTTGCACTTCACCTGCACAGGAGAAGTGGTTGACAAGTGAAAGTAGATAGGGTCACCCAAGGATGGTGTGTGGAGGTGGAGGGCAAGGTGACCCTGGGGCATGGCTGCATTGAAAAGGACCAGTCAAGGACGTTCTCAAGAAGCAGTGCAGGGAGGCCAGAGGAGGGCAGAGGGACAGGAAAGCCTCTGTCACCAAAACCAAGGGTGGGTGTGGACTRTTTTCAGGAGGGCCACACAGCTGGTGCTCAGGGCCCAGGACTGGGTGACATTGCAGTGTTGGCGGATGGTCAGATGGGTGCTAGATTGCATGAGGTCCTCGTGAGAAACGAGGGGCAGAGCCAGGGGAAGAACCCRCTCCTTCCAGAAAGTCAATGAAAAGGGGAGGAGAAAGGGAGTGGATGGCACCATAGGGTCCCAAGTGGATTCTCAGGGCTGGAGAGAGACCCTACTCAGAGGTGGTGAAGAAGCATCAGTCCACTCAGAGGYAGAGGCTAAAGACGATGGGAGGCTTCCACAGGGCTGGGGTTCTGGCGTGCAAACCGCAGGGCTCTGAAACCCAACGTGTTCATCTGGTTTGGGTTCTGCTATTTGCCAGCCCTGCGCCTTGGAAAAGTTAAAGTTCTGTTTTCCACCCGTGAACCACTCCCTTTTTTTTGTTTTTTTTCCTGGTGGTGCTGGGGATTGAACCCAGGGCTYTGGGCATGCGAGGGAAGCACTCTACAGACTGAGCCATATCCCCAGCCCTCCAGTCCCATCCTATRTCACCTGATTATATTGTTTTGAGCATGAGCCGTGGTCCTGGGTGAAGGTGTGTACAACGGCTCAGTCCCCGGCTTCCCAGACCTCACGGTGCACCTATTACATCTTTTATTATGGAAATGACAATCATGCACCCATGTGGAAAGAAGAGCATCGTGAACTCCCGGGCGCCGTCTAGGTGAACCGTCAAGTTGGGGCCCATGTGAATGCCGGTATCTCAAACCTCCTCTTCCTTGGTTCTTATTCATACTGAACCTCCACCGCACACCTCCAGTCGTCCTCCCAGCGTCCGGTTTTCAACTCCATGCACTGGAACTGGTTGGTACGTCTCTCCCCTTTAGTTCCCTCCCTCCCTTCCCCCTCATCTTTTGTTTCGGGTTTTCATATCCCACGCACCCACGCACTGCTTTCCCATGGGTCGTTCTGACGTTTCTCTGCTCTCTGTRAACTGGTAGTTAGACTTGAGGACTTGATCAGCATGCAGTTGGATTATGTTGGCGAGACTGCTCCTTACAAGGTGGCTCTGCGGAAACCTGGGTGTCTTTTTCTGAATCTACACATACTGGCGACCTCTGCTTAGAACATAGCTGTGAATTCACTCTGGCATTGCAAATACCATTTAAAACACAATTTTAATATTTATAGTTATTCTGGATGTAAATACCCTCCATCCACCCAAAGACACAGAATACTGCCTACAGAGTGAAAGTGCAAGTTGATTCTTTATTCAAAAAATAYTGAGTTCTCCTCTACTCCAGGTGAAGCATGGCTCTCAGAGAGAGCTGTAAAAAGGCCTGGCTAGGCCCAGCACAGTGGTATGTCTCTGTAATTCCAGAGATTCAGGAGTCTCAGGCAGCAGGATTACAAGTGTACGAGGGCTGAGCCATGAGGCACAGGTGTGACCAGGAATGTGCGGACTCCTAGGACTGAGTGGTGCTTGAGGAAGGGGACTAAGCACTGAAATGACTTTAGGAATGATSGATTGTCATGCCAGAAAAGTCACATGCAAGGTACAGAGTGCTTCAGGATGTCGCCCCGCAATAAACTCATGTAAAAATAACCCRGTCCACACAGCTGAATGTAGGTGGGAGTAAACTGGAGTTGCTACTTTCATTTCTGTTTTCAGCATTACATTAGAATCCACCTCCTCCTTCTCTCTTCACTCGGATAGTAGTTGGGTCCCTGATTTGGATGGACTCACTTTTGAACTCCCAGTGTGTCAGGGGGATGGCCTTGTTTGTGGGGGGTCTTCCTGGTTGTTATGTTCGGTGTCATCCTTGGGTAGCCTTCCATCTGGCCACGCAGGAGGACCAGGTCACCCGAGAAGCCACAAGCCAYATCTGAGGCAAGGCAGATTCTGCAGGCCTCCGTGGGTCTTGCTCTTCATCTGCCACCACCACTCTGTCCCTCAGGTCATCCGGAAGGGACCGTGGGGACCACTCTGTTCTTCCAAACCCACTGCCTGTCCTGTGTCTTCAAGCCTAGTGTCAGTCTGTGAATAAGTGGGCCTGGGTCCTTACACAGAGCCTGTGCTGTGACCTCCCGGCACCCTGCTCTCACAGGGCCACCTCCATCTGTGTCCCCAAGGCCTGGATCCGTGTCACTGGGGATCCCCATTGCTTTATGGATTCATCCTCTGTGAAAATGCTGAYATTCCTGAGGAGGACCCCTCTTTGTACCTGAGTCAACAGGCGTGGGGTAGCTTTGTGGGAGCAGGTTTGTGAGAGAGGCAGGTGAAGACGGCTCCTGCGTAGGAAGAGAGGAGCATCCAGAGGGAAGAAGAAAAGCAGYTGTGAGAGAGAGCCCTGAAGTCAAACAGCAAATCCGCACCGAGGACCTGTGGGCCGCTTACTCCCAGGCCCCTGCGGGGCTTGCAGACACACCGCCATTTCCCGTGTGTCCTCTCATTCCCCAGCACGGGGTGCTGCTGTCCAACTCAGCTGTCTTCCTGTTGCCCCTGGTTCCTTCCGTTTCTCTCCTCTCTTTCTTTCCTCACCTTAATTTTCATTTCCCTTTTCCTTTCTTTGAGCTTTAACTTTCTTGTTCTTTTCCCCATTTTTAAATAAATTTTCTCCCTCTCCACCTTTTCCTTCCCTTTTCTTGTGTTGGTTTAAAACTTCAGATGCAGCGTTTCGATGTGCTTGTCATGTGGGTGAAGTGTTAACTCGGGTGCACAGTTGCATGGTCACAGACTGAAAAACCGAGGGTTGCGGCTTCTCTTGGCGTTCTGACACCTGGAACCACTGGCTGAAGCTGACTCTCAGTGGGCGTGAACTGCGGTACGCACAGTGTTCTCATTTAGCATAAAGATAGTGAAGCGTCAGATAGGACATCTTACTGTGTGTCACACATTCCTTCTCCGAGGCTCTCACATGGCGGCCCGTGGCCCTTGCCTGGGATCCCAGCCACTCCAGAGGCGGAGGCGGCAGGAGGGGAGACACATCTCTAACTGTGCTGTGTCCTTTTCTTCTTCTCTTCCTTTTTATCTCCTTCCACTCATCGCTCCTTGGTTGTTGTTCCTGTTGTAAGTCAGATAGAGGCTTCTGGCCACGCAGAGCACAATTGTGACACAGATGACAGACACCTTCCATTCTGCTTTTCCTCTGTTGCCCACCAGCTCCGCGACCTCACCCCTGCCCAGGCCTCCTTCCCCCTTAGATGTCAGGTCAAAACCCTGGGCCGGCAGCAGTAGYGCCATCAGAGGAAGGAAGGTGTGATCCCTGTAAACAGGTAACCTGCTGCTGCTCTGCCTAACAGAATTTTGAGAAATCATTCCTTCAGTTCATTCTCTACATTAGGTTCATAACCTTCTTGGTCTCAGGACCCTTTTATACTCTTCAAAATTATTGAGGCACCCACCCAAATAGCATTTGCTTACMCAGGCTGTAGCCATCATACTGCAGTGCTAGAGGTTAATGCTGAGCACAATTCCAAACACGTGCATGTTCAAGCACACATCCGTGGGCGGTCAGAGCCTCTGGCCAAATCTGCCGTATACTTGGGAGAGATCAAGAGTGAAGAGAGTCCATTACATCTTAATATTACTTTGAAAATAAGTTTGACTTTGCAGATTTCCAAAAGGGACACAGGAACCCCATGGGGTACATAGAACACACTAGGACCTGGTACTTCAGGTATTTGGGGGCAGTTCCTGAATGCTTGTGCTGGAAATTCCAGAAATGGTATCGGGAGTGGGGAGAATATTGGAGAACTTCATAGTACCAGGAATTCACTCCATGTGTAGTCTCTACTGAGGCACTTGATAGGCATATATGTCTAAAAAATTAGTTTATGCATATATTCAATGAAAATGATTTAGTACCTTTTTAAAAAAAAATTTTGTGGTTGTAGATGGCTAGAATGYCTTTATTTTATTTGTTTATTTTTATGGGGTGCTAGGGATCAAACCCAGTGCTTCACACATGCTAGGCAAGTGCTCTGCCGCTGAGCTACAGCCCCAGCCTCTAGTACCTTTTTTTATAACCACTAAAAGCCTAGTTGGTATGACTCTAATCTGGAAATTTTGATACTCACAGTCGGATCCTGAGTCACTGGCTCAGCATGACTGCAGGAGTGTTGTGAAGTTTAGACTCATGATAAAATCACTAAAGAGAAAAGTGTCAGGGGTTTTGGTTATATTTCTCRTTATCTGGTTAACCAAGAAACACTGCAAGACTATGTGTGAATGTCGAGTCCTCTTTTCTGACTAYCAGCCTTTAAGAAGTTCCTTTCTCTTGCAAAAATGCAATATAAAGTCATCACTTACCAAGGGTGAAACTCCATTAAATAACATCGCCAACCATTTTGATAGAACTTTCTGTCTGGCTTCCACCTCTGAGTCCAACAATGTGGCTACCTAAGTCTAATCACTTGCTACTTCTTTTCAGATAGTTTTGAGACAGATGCACCATTGAATCACCACTTCGTCTCAGAATCTGGAAAAAATGTCACACTCAACTGTCAGCTTCAGATGGATGGGCTGGTGCATCAAGTCACCTGGGAAAAGATCCAGCCCTATCAGATAGACCTCCTAACCTGCTGCAACTTGTCCCAAGGGAGGAGTTACACCTCAAAGTACCCCAGGCAAATCCTTAGCAACTGCAGCCAGGGCAGCAGGAGCAGCTGGATCCTCATCCCCAACGCCACCACCTCGGACTCTGGGCTGTACCGCTGCCGCTTCTCTGCCCGCTCAGGAGAAAACGAAACCTTCKTGGCAAAACTGACCATCACTGACGGTGAGTGGGCCGTGTGTTCCAGGGGCAAAATGGGAAAAAGCCAACCACTGAGGATGGGTTGCTGCTGTTCTTTCTGTGGTGCCTGCATTCATTTAATGAGATGCTACTGTTCAATCGTGTTCTTAATGGTTTAGTTTGGGCACATTTATCATTATTCTAGGATTCAGGATCTTTTTATCTCACTAATCCGTTCAGCACAAATTGTACAATAAAAAAAAAATTCTATTTTTTTATCTGCCATGTTCCTGAAATCAAGAAAATCAAAACCAAAAGCGTGATGGTACGGGCCCTGTGTTTCAATCTCATTACTCCTACCTCACCAGATTCTATTGCTGTTTTTGTTGCAGGTGATAGGGTGGTATCATCCCTCGGTAACCCCAGCAGTAAGGACACAGTGCTAGGTCACGTGTAAGTTGGTCTCGGGGTGACTGGAGGCACGAGCTGGGGGATCACGCGGTTGCTGCTGGGCCAGAGCAGAGCCCTTTTCTCAGTTGGTTTCAGACCTGAGCACAGAAGCACCCTGACCTTGAGGCTCCCTGAGCTGACCTTCAGGGTCTGCATCTGAGTGGTCCCTTGCCTTCTTTCCTATGCTTTTGGCCAGTTTCTTGATCTTGGCTTGTGTTTGGACATTTGGAGCCAAGGCTCCCCAGGCTTTGGCTACGCCTTTGGCCTCAGATGACACTGCAGGCTGATAGTCCTTCCTGAACTGGAACTGAAGGAGAAAGGCTATTAACCACAGCCTCCGCCACGGCACCTGCTGGGGCCCTTGCAATGAGGAAATGGCTGGAGGAGAGGGGATTTCCATGTGCAGGCAYGCTGTTTATTTATTTATTTATTTGTTCTAATCAGTTATACCTGACAGCAGAATGCTTTTCGGTTCATTGTACACAAATGGAGCACAATTTTTCACTTCTCTGGTTGTACACAAAGTAGGGTCACACCGTTTGTGCAATCAGTCATACGTGTACCTAGGGTAATGATGACCATCCCATTCCACCATCTTTCCTATCCCCATGCCCTTTCCCCTCCCCACCCACCCCTTTGTTCAATTCAATTTCTCCACTTGTCCCATGCCCCACCCCCATGTGAATTAGCATCCACTTATCAGAGAAAACATCCGGCCTTTGGTTTTTTGGGATTGGCTTACTTTGCTTAGCATGATATTCTCCAACTCCATCCATTTATCTGCAAATGCCATAATTTTATTCTTTTATTGCTGAGTAATATTCCATTGTGTATATGTACCACAGTTTCTTTATCCATTCATCTATTGAGAGGCAGCACACCAGCCTCCTCTGTCCGTCTCAAGGATGGTGGAAGCCTGGCATGAGATACACATTGAACTTAGAACTTAATGTCAAAGAATGGTATTAGAATATTTTGGAGAGGGAAAATGAACAGAGCTTCCACATTTTRAATGTTGATCATATTTCTGTAGACATAGAAAATAGTTCTTACTTAAAAAAATCTTGCATTACAGAAATAGTTTTTGAACCTGGCCAGGAAAAAAAAGTGAAAACAAATACTAACTTTTTCTTAAAGACGAAGGCAAGAAAATGTTCTATTCAGAAAAAAAAAATGTCATAATCATTTTAAAAACATAGGAAATAAGGCCTTGTCCATTGTGGGCTGAAAAAGTAATTAGAAACATCTTAAATCACAGAGAAAAAGAAGGTAAGAGATTTTTAGGAGATAGTTATTTAACTTTTACTAATTAATCAACCTGTCTTTGATTTGTCCAAATATGACTAAGTTTCTTGCAGAAAACTCTTTTTGTGTGTGTAAATTATAAACAATTTCAAAAATCTGCCAATGAAATGAAGGTGACAGTGTAATGGTGGGTACTGTAAGGGCCCATGAGTTTTGAACAGCTGCAAAATGGCTTTTTGACATCCAATTGACAGATTGCAAGAATAACAACTGGACTTATATCCATTAGTAGAAAAGTAAAATTGATGAAGATGACAGCTATTGACTGTATGTTTTGGCTTAATTCTTTTTTCAATTATTATAAGTAAAGACTGAATCTAAAAAAAAACAGTCTGAAAGCAAAATAGGTCATTTGTGTTTTGTCTAGTGCAATTTGATTATTTCAAGTCCTGAGGCTGTTTGGTCAAAAATCAATGTAGAGATTAAAGCAGAAAGACAGGTATAAGATTTGGAACAGACTTAATTTATTTCAACTGTCCAGGGAAAGGTGATTGCGACACAAATTTTATAAAGTGCCATACATCCTTTTGTTAGTTCCCATCAACTTCTTTTATAGGACGTACTATTGGATCCCAAAGAGAGATTTTTAAGACTTAAATTTACACACACACACACACACACACACACACACAAATATATATACACACTCCCCTGACTGCTGCCTGCCTGTGTTCATCAGACAAGGAATCATTTAGTCAGAGGTCACCCAAAAGATTTTGTATAATCCCCAACCAATAGCTATATAATTGCCAACCAATACGCCCTATATCCAGGCCTTCCTGTGMTTTGTGCAGAGGAGGAAGATGGCAAGGCGTGAATTGACTTGCCTTCGACTTCCTTCTCTGAGTGAAAGGAAATGCCAGCGTCTTAGCAATACCACTCAGGGGCTGGAAGTGTATGCAGTAGTTCCAGATTGACCTTTCTGAACTTGAAACTTGACCAGAAGGGTAAGGGAGGGGAGAAAATGTGTGTTTACTGACACCCAACCAAAATTATTTTTGGTCTTTGATAGCCTCCAGATTTYCAGTAGTCATGAGAGAGGTATTTCAGGTAACTCCAAAAGAAATGATGGAATCAGGCTATTATTGTTTAAATTGAGCTTATTAAGTATAAAAAGATTGAGGATAAAATAAATGAAATTGGCTAYCACTGAAGGTTCCAAGAGGAGACTAGTTTTGAATAAACTTCGGTTCACATACTTACTCAACATCCTTCTGTGATCTTCTTCCACCCACGATCCCATGTGACCAAGCCACCATAGGTCAAATGAGGTGTGTGGTGAGTGGAGCTGATGAGGGAGGATATGCCGATCATGGAGGGGTGAGGGGTGAATAGGGAGAGGGGGCYGTGTGGGTGGTGTGGGTGATGGCAATCAGCTGAACAAATTGGCAGAGAGTCCAAGTTCCAGGTCAATGTAGGATGAGGTAGGTTAAGTGACATATTGACTTGGTGAAATTCTGGATTTGTGGAATAGTCAAGGAAAACCTTTGCTGGTTCTTGAGCAAAGATGGCAGAATAGCTTCAAGGAAGAGTGGGTTGTCTCTAAGTTTCAGAGTAGACGACTTCCACCCCTTTGGTTAGGTTTAATCCTAAGTACTATTTTATTTTTGTTATTATTGTAAATGGATTATTTTCTTCATTTCTTTTTTTGTATTATTTGTTGTATATAGAAATATAATGGTTTTCTCTTTTTAACCTGCTACTTTCCTGAATCGTTTATYAGTTCTAGATGTTGTATGTGTGTGGTCTCCAGGATTTTATACAGATGTGATTATGTCATCTGCAAATTGCTCATTTTACTTTACCTTTCCTATTCAGATGCATCCCCCCGCCCCATGTCTAATTGCTATGGCTAACTCGGGCCTCTAGGACTTCACTGAGTACAAGGGCTGAGACTGGGCACTCTTGTCTTATTCCTGATCTTAGAGGAAAGGTTCAGTTTTTCACTGTAGAGTCCTTTCACATGGGGCCTTTATTATTTGGGAGTAAGTTTCTTCTACACCTAGTGTAAGAGTTTTTATCATGAAAAGATATTAAACTTTATCAAATGCTTTTCTACTTCTCTGGAGATGATCATGTGGTCTTTGATATCATTTTGTGAATGTGGTCTACTTGATTGATTGATTTGCAAGCCTCGAACTGTTCGTGCATCCCCCAGGGATAAATCCTGCTTGATCACAGCATTTAAACTTTTAAACATGCTGTTGTGTTCAGTTTGTTAGTATTTTGTTGAGGACTTCTTTATCTACATTCACTGGGGGTATTGACTGTAGTTTTCTTGTGGTGTTGTCTGGTTTTGTTATCAGAGCAAAGCTATTCTCATAAGATGAATTTGAAAGTGTTCTCTCTTCTACTTTTTTGGAAAAAATTAAGAAGAGTGGTTTAATTCTACCTTGTGTGTCTGGTGGAATTCATCTGTGAAGCCATCTTGTTCTGGGATTGGTGATGAGCCCCAGGCCCCAGGTCCACCTTAGCTGGGCACAAAATGGCCCAGACAAAGGGAGGGGAGAGGGGTGTCACTAAAACACCTCTCAGCCAGCTCTGCCACTCACCCTGCCCTACTTTCTCCTTCTCCTAACCAGGCTTCTGTTTCTCATCACATTTACCTTCTTTCCACGGAGTGTCACTCAGTCACTTGCTGCCTTCATGTCTGTGTGAGTCCAAACTGCTCACAGTCTTTGAACCATTAAGCATCTTGAATTTCCCAAACTTTGTTAACTTAAAGATTGTCACCTTTAAATGACTTAATAACTGCATCTGCCTTTATGGTCCAGACTCCTAACAAAAATTGCTGGAGGTTAGAGATTAGGACGCCTTTAAAGTTGTCCAAGTGTCTTTCTCCCATGTGCTCACCAAGGGTTCCTGACTGATATGTTAATATTTCTACTGATTCTGGTAGGAACCATGTCCACCTTAGCTTTAAGTTTCCTGGGTAGATTATTTTGAGATTTACTTCATCAACACTTAACATTTGAGGTTTAGTGATTGATTACCAAAGAAAAGGAGATTTCAAAAGATCAGTGGCGATGTCTGTGAAGAACATTTGCATGATCTTTTGTTTACATATGTAACTTTTAGAAAGGCTATTTGTTCTTTAGTTTTTCATTTTCTTTATTTTTTGTTCATTTTTTTAACATAATGGTACATATTTGCTAGTCTCAAGGACTGGAGGATGGGATTTGTAAATTAAGATTATAGGAGTATTCATTAGGAAATGGTGCTCCCACAGCCAAGGGACTCTTCCCACATATTTCTTCAGTAAGGTTTGGGGTTGGCAAAGATGGACCAGG